AGAATCAGGGACCCCCCTAAAATTGACCCCCTACAAGTAAGCTCCCGTGATACTAAGGACCCCAATAAGGTACCCCGAAACCCTACTCCCCAATTTCGGAAACCCCAAGAAGGCACCCCCTATTATCGTAAACCCCCATGTGGGTCTCAGAGCCCAGAAGCTGTCGCCGCACAGCTTAAGACCCCTCAAAAGAGCCTAAAGCCCTAAAGGAAACCGAACAAAACAAACACCTAAGAGTCCCTAAGACCTTAAAACCCTAAACTTGCCCTAAACCCTAAAACCCCTAAAAACCCTAAACCCTAAACCCTAAACCCTAAACCTGAACTTCGACAGGGTTTGAGCGGCCTTAGGCCTTGATCGGTTTAGGCGTGGGGGTGGCAGCGTCCTGAGGGGCGCCTAGGGTTTAGGGTTTAGGGGTTGAGGGTTTAGGGTTTAGGGTTTAGGGTTTAGGGTTTAGGGCTTAGGGCTTAGGGCTTAGGGTTGAGGGTTTAGGGTTTAGGGTTTAGGGCGCAGGGTTTGGAGTGTTGAAGGGTTTGGGGCTGAGGGACTGAGAGTTCCAAAAACCCGAAACCGGCCTGGCAGCGGAGAAATCGCTTTACGAGCCTGAGACGGGTGTCCCCTTCTTGGGTTTGGGGTTAGGGTTTAGAGTTTAGAGTTTAAAGTTTAGAGTTTGGAGTTTAGGGTTGGGACTTGGGATCTAGGGTTTAGAGTTTAGGGTTTAGAGTTTAGAGTTTAGGGTTTAAAGTTTAGAGTTTGGAGTTTAGGGTTGGGGCTTGGGGTCTAGGGTGTGGGGCTTAAGGCTTAGGGGGCTGAACCCAAACCCGCCCCAAAGCCCATGCATACGACACCGGAAAAAACCTGCCACAACCTCACACTCAGAGCTGAACCCTAAAGCCTGCAAACCCAAAAAAACACATACATACCTAAAGACGAGATGAACCCTAACCCTAAACCATGAACCCCAAACTCCTGAACCTTACTATGAACCCTAGACCCCAAACCCCAAACCCCAAACCCCAAACCCTAAACCCTAAACACCCTCCTCGCCAGCCTTCGCTGCGCTGGGCGAGCTGGGCGTGCCCAGGCCTAGGCGGAAGCACAAACGTTTCTGTTGGGCCCTACCCTCAATAGGATTTAGGGTTTGTACAGGGTTTAGGGTTCAGGGTTTAGGGTTTAGGGTTCAGGGTTCAGGGTTTAGGATTGGGGGCTCGGGGTTTAGGGTTCGTAGGGGTCTTGAAAGTAGGTTGTTATCTTTGGCGAAAACAGAGGAGAGCTTGAGGGTTTCTTTGGGCTGAGGGGTTCAGTCTCAGAAGGGCTTTGTTGCGGAGTTGAGGGTTGGTGGTTGCGGGGTTTGGGCGAATGTGTGAACGCCCCGGGCTACATCCGTGGCATGTCTGCTTTCAAGAATGCTGCTTCTTGTCCAGGGACACAGCAAAGCCGCACCTAGACCTCCCAAACCCAAAACCCTAAACCCTAAACCCCAAACCCCAAGCCCCCAAACCCCAATTACCCTAAACCCTAAACCCAAAACCCTAAACCCTAAACCCTAGACCCCAAACCCCAAACCCCAATTTCTGGTTGCAATGCCTTGTGAACCTTAAACATCCTCAGAGGCCCCGACCCCAAGCAACAGGGGAACTGTAGGGTGGCCCCGGGGGTGGGGAATTAGGGTTTGGGGTTTAGGGTTTAGGGTTTAGGGTTTAGGGTTTGGGGTTTAGGGTTTAGGGTTTAGGGTTTCGGGATGTAGGGGAGTGTACGAGAGAACAGGGGACCCCAATTTGGATCCCCTAATCGTAGGATTCCCTCATACAAGAAGGACCCCAACTAGGTACCCCGAATTTCGGAAACCCCCATGATCCCCCATGTAGAAATTATTGGTGCAAGAGTGTGTGCAGTAGCGAAGGGGTGTAAGACATGAAGATATGAAACAGGGTATATATTACTGTTTTTGGTGAGTGTATATAAGGTTCCTTTTAAAATTGGTGAGTGTATATACTTGGTGTCCTTTTGGGGATATAAGAAATATAAACCCTGCTTCATATACCAGAGACAAAGAGCCGAAGATAGGGCTCCCTTTAGAGTGAAGGCGATGTAAAAGTTGCAGAAGAAAGCCCTACTGCTTCATCGTGGGGACTGAGGGAATTGGGGGACCCGGTACCCCACATACTTCGGGGCTGAGTACCCTGGCCCAAAAAAAGTGCAACCTTGTATATGCAGTGGGATTCTATATGACCAAAATGATTAAAGGTTACCTACCCAGTCCAAAAGTAGAGGGGTACGTATAGGCATATATAAGGTGCCTATAAGTCCGCATTCCCTGCTAAGTTTAAGCCCCAAACCCTAAACCCTAACCCCCAAACCCTAAACCGTTGAAGTGGTGGGAGCATGTTCATCTTGTCAAGTCTTAGACTATCAGAACCGCTCTTGGATTCCTCAGGATTTAGGGTTTCAAGCTTAGGGGGCTAAGGGCTTAGGGTCTAGGGTGAAGGTTTGTGGCTTTACCTCAACCCTAAACTAAACCGTGCAACTGGGTAGCCGAATCCATCACCGGCCGCCCCCGCGGCTTCCTGCTAGGAATCACGGGGCGGAGGGCCCTTACCCCCAAACCCCAAACCCAAAAACCCCAAAACCTAAACCCCAAACCCTAAACCCTAAACAAACCCTAAACCCCAAACAAACCCTAAACCCCAAACCCCTAACCCCTAAACTCCACGGGAAAGACGACCTCAAACCTCCCAAACGCAGTGGGGAAACTAACTGGTTCTTGGTACGGAATGAGGGATTTCTAGATCTCTTGTATCCCCCCTCTGGGTTTAGGGTTTAGGGCTAGGGCTTAGGGTTTAGGGGTTTGGGCTTCTTCCTTGAAAGGATTACATCAGGGTACCTTGCTCCCTCATTTCCCACTAGGAACCGGGAACCCTAAACCCTGAACCCCAAACCCTGAAGGTTTAGGGTCTCAAGGGTCCCAAGAGTCTCATGGTTTACTCGGGCTTCGGCGGTTTAGGCCCGAGACCCCTGAAAGTTCGGGTTTCGGGGTTTTGGGGTTTATGGCTGAGGGTTTAGGGTTTAGGGTTTAGGGTTTAGGGTTTAGGGTTTAGGGTTTAGGGTTTAGGGTTTAGGGTTTAGCCTGGTCAGCGGCTCGGGTCTCGTTCTTTTGCGGCGCTCGCCATCTCTTTTGGAGCTCGGTCTCCCAGGCGAGACACTTCTCAGAGTCTGGCTTTTCCAGGGCTTCATCACCACAGCATGAGTAGTAGTAGTAGTAGTAGTAGTAGTAGTAGTAGTAGTAGTAGTAGTAGTAGTAGTAGTAGTAGTAGTAGTAGTAGTAGTAGTAGTAGTAGTAGTAGTAGTAGTAGTAGTAGTACCCGAGTTCCAAATAATAAGTCCTTTAAAGGGGCCCTTTTCATCTCCCTCATTCGTGCGGTTAACAGGTTCATGATGACACGGAACAAGACACAGGATTTAATGGTTGATCTGGGGCTGAGTCTTAATGTCTTGAGTCTAGCTTTTCCAGGGCTTAATCACCACAGCACTAGTAGTAGTACCCAAGCAAAATACAAATAGTAATCAGAGTCATAGTAGTAATAGTAGTAGTAGTAGTAGTAGTAGTAGTAGTAGTAGTAGTAGTAGTAGTAGTAGTAGTAGTAGTAGTAGTAGTAGTAGAAGTAGTAGTAGTAGTAGTAGTAGTAGTAGTAGTAGTAGTAGTAGTAGTAGTAGTAGTAGTAGTAGTAGTAGTAGTAGTAGTAGTAGTAGTTTAAACGGGGGCCCTGTGAAAATGGCTGCTACCCTTCAGAGCTCGCCGATGGCAAGCGTGATCTTCAGCAACAGCCTCAGCTGCCCAAAGACTCGGAGGGCGTAAAGGGCTCAGGGTTGTTGGGGTTTCTGGGGTCTTTAGGGTTTTTGGGTAGCTGACAGGGTTTAGGGTTTAGGGTTTAGGGTTTAGGGCTTAGGGCTCAGGGTTTAGGGTTCTTTGGGCCTCCTGGGCCTGGGACCCCTGTGTGCACTGAGGGAACTGCCTCTGCTGGTGCAGGTAGGACAGTCGGGGCTCGGCACATGGATGAGGTGAGATGATGAGACGAGGGTTTTTAGGGCTTTTTGGGGCTTTTAGGGCTTTTAGGGCTTTCAGGGCTTTTAGGGCTCTTAGGGCGTTTAGGGAAGTTTAGGGTTTTGAGGGTTTTTGGGTTCAGGTTTTCCCTAACTCGACCCCTCAACAGCCACACCTCTCGCTTCCCAATACCATTTACGGAATCGACCTCAACACTATACCCCCTGGTTCTTAGTAGGGAATGAGGGAACTAGGGCTCTATACCTCATTCCCACATTTTGTACTGAGAACCAGCCAGTATGTATAGGGGGTGGGCTTAGGGATATACCATAAACTATATTGGGATCCCTACTCTGGTTTTAAGGCATGCGTTCCTTACGTAAGGGTGTGTCGAAGGTTAGGGCCTTTTTGGCTTCAGGCACAAGGCTCCAGTGTGTTAGACACAAAAGTTGATGGATCATAAGGGGGTCTACGAAAATAACGGACCCCCTAAATATGAACCCCAAATAGTAGGATTCCCTCATTGTAAGGACACCAGTAAGGAACTCCAAATAGTAGGATTCCCTTATAATGAGGACACCAACAAGGTACCCCTAATTTCGCAAACCCCATACAACTTTAACTTGGCCTTGATTCCGGCACCATACTTTCTCTAGCCCTAAACCCCTCAAGCCCTTTAGCGGGCTTGAGGTTGAACTTTGGGTTAAACAACCCTGAACCCTAAACCCTAAACCCTAAACCCTGAACCCTAAACCCTAAACCCTAAACCACCCACCATGGCTGGCAATATCATGCTCCGGCCCGGGAAGATAAAGGACATGACCATTGATGCCCACCGATGCCCCGAGAATCCTACAAGGCCCCATGCTTCATGGATTGAAAGACATGACACTGGTTAGGGTTTAGGGTTTAGGGTTTAGGGTTTAGGGTTTAGGGTTTAGGGTTTGGGGTCTAGGGTTTAGGGCAACGAAAACCCCAAGTCACTCAACTCAATTTTTCGCCCTGACTGCCGATCCTGGCGCCCGCTTTCATCGTCGAGCTCGTTCTCCTCGAGCACCTCCCGGGCCATTTCGAACCCTGAACCCTCAGAGCATACACACCAAACTCCAAACCCGAACCCGGAACTCCAACCCCTAGACCCGAAACCCTAAACTCCAACTCCAAACCCTAGACCCAAACCCTGAAATTTAGGACCGGTCTCGACTTCCGGCTTCGGGTTTGGGTGGTGGAGGGGAACAGGCTTAGGTGGCCTCCAAGCTCCGGAAACAGATCCCCCCTAAAGTCCACCCGAAGCCCTCAGCCCGAAACCCTGAACTTCTGAACCTCTAAACCTCGAAACCCTAAACTTCTGAACCCTAAACCCTCAACCCTAAACCCCAAACCCCAAACCCCAAACCCTGAACCCTAAACCCTAAACCCTAAACCCTCAAACCTAAAACCCTAAAACCCTGAACCCCAAGAAGGGGCTGCCTTCAGGGCTGCCTGGGAGATGCTCTCGGGGTCGGGTTCCCCCTCCTCGGGCAGCACCTGGCTACTTGGGGGTTCATGGTACTTAACCAATTATAACTGTGTTTAGGGTTTAGGGTTTAGGGTTTAGGGCTTAGGGTTTGGGGCTTAGGGTTTAGGGCTGAGGTTTAGGGTTTAGGGTTTAGGGTTTAGGGTTTAGAAGAACTGTACCTGGAACCCACTTACAGGCCCCTGAAGTGCCCCAATATGGTGATAATTGGGTTCTATGTACAATTATTGTTGGGTTAATAAGTACCATGGACCTCCAAGTAGTTCCTGAACGAAAGGGCTTGAGGCTCTAGGGCTGAGATTGCGTAGGGTTTTGGGTTTAGGGTTTAGGGTTTGGGGTCTAGGGTTTGGGAATTGGGGTTTCAGGGTTTGGGGTTTAGGGTTTTGGGGTTTGGGGTTTAGGGCTTTGGGATTTATGGTGGGATTTGGGAAGAAGAAGGGTTTAGGGTTTCGGGTTTGCAGGGTTCTCAGAGTCCTCAGGGTTTAGGGTTTAGGGTTTAGGGTTCAGGGTTCAGGGTTTAGGGTTTAGGGTTTAGGGTTTAGGGCTTAGGGCTTCGGGACTTCAGCTTGGGGCTCAGCGTGTTTTCCTGAGTCCTGGACTCCCTAAACCCTCAGTAGGGTTTGGGGTTTGGGGATTTGGGGTTTGGGGTTTAGGGTTACCCTAAACGCCTCTAACCCCAAACCTCTGGACCTGAAACCGGTACAACCCAAAAATCTACTGAAACCTCTATGTTCACGCCTGGGTCCAATAAATGCCCTACACCCTCAACCCTGAACCCTAAACCCCAAAACCCTAAGCCCTACACCCTACACCCTACACCCTAAACCCTAAAGACCCTGCAACCTTCTGCGCCCCCGCTTTTCACAGGCCTTGACCTCGACCCCCGAGCGCGCGCGCGAGGGCAGCAGCATCAGTTTGGGCGCAGTCCGCCTAGGGATGGGTGCGGGGGGGGGGGGGTGGGATCCAGGGCTTAGCAGGAAGATTTAGGGTTTAAGGTTTGGGGTTTGGGGTTTAGAGTTGAGGGTTTAAGGTTGAGGGTTTAGGGTGTAAGGGGAAGACATCATGATACGCCGACTGGGCTCGCAGAGAAGGACGAAGTAGCAGCAAGGCACGGCCCTTTCCAAGCCTTGAAGGGACAAGCCTGAACCCTACGTCCGAGACCGACGTTCTGCTTTGTTAAGATACCCCAAACCCTAAACCCTAAACCCTAAACCCTAGACCCTAAAGAAGCCCTGGACCCTGAACCCGGACCTCAAACCCAAACCTTGGGATCCTGACCCTCAACTGCGAAGCCGAACGCCTGAATACCTTTAAGACCCTAAGCAACCCCTAACGCCTAAACAACCCCAAACCTGCAACCCCCCAAACCCCAAACCCCAAACCCTAAACCCTGAACCCCAAACCCAGAACAACCCTAGACCCTAAACGACCCCAAGCCCAGAACCCTTAACTCCTTGACCCTCAACTCACAACCCTAAACCCTTAACTCCTTGACCCTCAACCCACAACCCTAAACCCTTAGCTCCTTGACCCTAAACCCTAAACCCTAAACCCTAAACCCTAAACCCCAAACCCTAAACCCTAAACAACCCAAAACCAAGAGAGCGGTCAAGGCTCCTGCGCACGTTCACCTCCGAAGCCGCGGGGCCGTTCTCCTGAGGTCGCCAGTCTGCGGGGTTTAGGGTTTAGGGTTTAGGGTTTAGGGTTTAGGGTTTAGGGTTTAGGGTTTAGGGTTTAGGGTTTAGGGTTTAGGGTTTAGGGTTTAGGGTTTAGGGTTTAGGGTTTGGGGGTCGAGGAAAAACACACCTTGGGATCCGAAGTTCTTGGGCTGCTCCTGAATTTTGTGGGCTTCAAGGATGCTTTTTGGTTTTGGGCTTGTAGAGTTTAGGGGCATAGGGTTTAGGGTTTAGGGTTTAGGGTTTGGGTTTGGGGTTTAGGGTTTAGGGTTTAGGGTAACTAGAGCTTTTACAGATTAGGGTAAAGGGTTATTTGGGGTTTAGGGCTTAGGACTTAGGATTGGGGGCTTCGATGTAGGATCTGCAGCCTGTGTCACTCAAGCCCTTTTGACTTCGCAAGTCTACTTAGTACCCCCTAAACCCCCTTGAGCAAGCCCCCGAACCCAACTTACCCTAAACCCCAAACCCTAAACCCTGCAACTTACCAAGGCAAAAGGACAAGCAGCAGGGACGGTGACGTCCAACCGAGCAAAGCGCAGCTGCCTGTGTGCTTACTGTTGGTTAGCAGGAAATACAGGGAATGAGGTACCCTATATCGTCCCTTAAAGGGTATATGGGGGTACGCTCGATAATCCCTTAAAGGGTATATAAAGGGTGGGGGGCGGGGGGTTACCTATATGATCCCTTAAAGGGTATATAAAGGGCGGCGGGGGGGGTACCCTATATAATCCATTAAAGGGTAGAGACAAAGGGGGGGGGGTGTATATAATCCATTAAAGGGAAAATATAGGGGGGGTATATAGGGGATTCCCTATGAACCAACAGTAACTGTGGGGGAGCCAGGCTCAAACCCGACAGCTGCGTAAGCTGAAGTCCCCGCTGGGGATTAGGGGTTTAGGGTTTAGGGGTTTAGGGTTTAGGGTTTGGGGTTTAGGGTTTAGGGTTTGGGGTTTAGGGTGTGGGGTTTAGGGTTTAGGGTTTAGGGTTAGGGTTTAGGGTTTAGGGTTTAGGGTTTAGGGTTTAGGGTTTAGGGTTTAGGGTTTAGGGTTTAGGGTTTAGGGTTTAGGGTTTAGGGTTTAGGGTTTAGGGTTTATGGTGGTTTGGGCTTTGGGGATTTAGGGATTCGAGGGGTTTCGGGTTTAGGGCTTTCATTTTCCGGTTTTAGGGTTTCGGGTTTGGGGCTGAAATGCCCCTTTGGGTCAAAGGGTTTAGGGTTTTCAGGGTTAGGGTCGGTTTAGGGCTTAGGGATTTCAGGTTTGTGGGGTTTGGGGTCTCGGGTTGAGCAAACCTAGTTGAGGGCCCAAGTCTGGTTTGGGGCTTGTCCCTGTAGCAGTTTAGGGTTGAGGGTTTAGGGTTTAGGGTTTAGGGTTTAGGGTTTAGGGTTTAGGGTTTAGGGTTTAGGGTTTAGGGTTTAGGGTTTAGGGTTTTGGAGTCCGCATATCCTGGGTGGGAGATGCAGAATGCAGTCCCCGAACTCTCTAGGTTTAGAAATCGCGGTAACTAGCAATAAACCCTAAAAACCTAAACCCCTAAATCCACAGATCTCCCGAGTCATTGCCTACGGTGCTCTACGACTGTAACAAGGCCTGGAAAACCCTTCGGGGCCAAAAAGCTCCGATTCTACCCTCAAACCCTTTTGAAAGAGAGGGCAGGGTCTAGGGTTTAAGGTTTAGGGTGTACTCGTAGGTAGGGTTTAGTTTAGGAGTTAGAGGTTAGGGTTTCGGGTACTCTGAACCCCTGAACCCGTGAACCCGCTTCAACGCAGCCCCTTTCAAGAAACATCAAGAGCCCAGGGGCGGCAGCAGCGCCGGCAATTTGTCCAACCTCGGTCTGGCCATTTCGGCTCAGGTGGGAAAGCTTGGTTTAGGGTTTCTGGGTTGGTTCAGGGCTTGGGGTTTGGTTGGGAAATTTTGGTTCAGGGTTGACTTGAGGGTTGAGGGCTGAGGGCTTAGGGTTTAGGGCTTTGGGGCCTAGGATGGCTTTAAGGCCACTTAGGGCTTTCAGGCATCCCCAGGCTTCCTTCTATGGTTTGGGGCACCCTGCACCCCTCCCTAGACCCTAAACCCCTCAAAGCCTAAACCCTTGAAAGACCCTAACCCTAAACCCCTATCCTAATTACCTAGTTACGTCTTCTCCAATGCGTCAGGATTCTCTTAGTTACGGAACCCCTGAACTCGAAACCCTAACCCTCCAAACCCCTCAAACCCCTCCTAAACGCCCTGACGACAGAACCCCTAAACCCTAAACCCCCTAAATACAACACTCCCGAAATCCCAATCCCCTAAACTCCTAAACCCCTAAGCCCCGAAACCCCTAAACCCCTAAACCCCTAAACCCCTAACCCCTAAATCCCAACCCTCAACCCTCAACCCCGAAACCCTAAACCCCAAACCCTCAACCCCAAAACCCCTAAACCCTAAAACCCAAACCCTAAACGCCTCAACCCTCAACCCTGAACGCCTCAACCGTGAACGCCTCACCCTCAACCCTCAACCCTCAACCCTCAACCCTCAACCCTCAACCCTCAACCCTCAACCCTAAACGCCGCAACCCTCAACCCTCAACGCCTCAACCCTCAAGGCCTCATCGCCTCAACGCCTCAACGCCTCGACGACTCAACGCCTCAACGCCTCAACGCCTAAACCCTTAACGCCTCAACCCTCAACACTCAACCCTCAATCCTCAACACTCAACCCTCAACCCTGAACCCTAAACCCTAAACCCTAAACCCTAAACCCTAAACTCAGGGCCTAGGCCGCCCCCAAACCCTGAACCCTAAACCCTCAACCCTCAACCCTAAACCCTCCCTCAACCCTAAACCCTCAAACCTAACCCCTGAACCCTAAACCCTAAACCCTCAACCCTAAACTCTAAACCCCAAACCCCAAACCCTAAACCCTAAACCCCAAACCTCAACCCTGAAACCCCGAAACCCTAAACCCTCAACTCTAAACCCCAAACCCCAAACCCTAAACCCCAAACCCTAAACCCTAAACCCCAAACCCCAAACCCTCAACCCCAAACCCCAAACCCCAAACCCCTAAACCCTAAACCCTAAACCCCTAAACCCTAAACCCTAAACCCCTAAACCCCTAAACCCCCAAACCCCAAACCCTAAACCCTAAACCCTAAACCCCAAACCCTAAACCCCAAACCCCTAAACCCTCAACCCTCAACCCTCAGCCAGCCCAGCAGCGCCGCATCGAAGGCCGGGTTCGGTCGCTCGCCGTTCACGAAGCCAACGGCCCACACGTGCTGCGACGCGAAGATCTCCTCAATGCAAGGGTTTAGGGTTAGGGTTTAGGGTTTAGGGTTTAGGGTTTAGGGTTTAGGGTTTAGGGTTTTGGGTTTAGGGTTTAGGGTTTTGGGTTTTTGGGTTTTGGGGTTTAGGGTTGTAGGGTTTAGGGTTTAGGGCTTAGGGTAATCTCCTCAACGCAAAGGGCCCTATACCTATGGAACCGTTTTAGGGTTTAGGGTTGTAGGGTTTAGGGTTGCAGGGCTTAGGGTTTTGGGTTTTGGGTTTTGAGTTTTGGGTTTTGGGTTTTGCGTTTTTGGGTTAGGGTTTGGGGTTTAGGGTTAGGGTTCAGGGTTTAGGGTTCAGGGTTTAGGGTTTAGGGTGAGGGTTTAGGGTTGTGACTTAAGCTTCCTCGAATATGGCAGCCATAGTACTAGGGGTTTACTGTAGGGTTTCGGGTTCAGGGCATAGGGTAAAAGGTGTAAACAGTGTAAACCCGTGAAATGGTGCTTTAACTTAAGCGCGTTAACAGCTACACGGCCCACGCCCTGCCGTTTAGGGCTAGGGTTTAGGGGTGAGGTTTTCGGGTTTACGGTTAGGATTCAGGGTTTAGGGCTTAGGGTTTAGGGTTTAGGGTTTAGGGTTTAGGGTTTAGGGTTTTGGTTTAGGTTTTAGGGTTTAGGGCTTAGGGTTTGGGGTTGCCCACGCCCCGTCCTTCTCGAAGGTGAGCGCGCTCTTCACTTCAAAGAGTTCCGCTCGAGCGAGGGCAGCCCAGAGCCAAAGCAGCCAGCGCATGGCTTGTAGCTCCGGGTTGAGGGTTTGGGGTTTAGGGTGTTTAGGTGTTTAGGGCTTAGGGCTTAGGGCTTAGGGCCTAGGGCTTAGGGCTTAGGGTTTAGGGGTTAGGGTTCAGGGTTCAGGGTTTAGGGCTTAGGGTTTGGGGCTTAGGGTTTTGGAATAGGGCTTAGGGTTTAGTGATTGAGAGTTTGGGGCTTAGGCACCTTCATAGTTGTTGGCCCAGTCAGTCAGGTTTCGGAGCTTGAACCTGAAAAGGGGTTTAGGGTTTGGAGGTTCGAGGCATGTTCCAAATGCGTCAAAGCTAAAGGGTTCCAACATGCAGAGCAAGGGTTTAGGGTTTAGGGTTTAGGGTTTAGGGTTTAGGGTTTAGGGTTTAGGGTTTAAGGTTTAGGATTTAGGGTTTAGGGTTTAGGGTTTAGGGTTTAGGGTTTAGGTGGATGTTACCATCCTCGAGACTGCCCGTCTGGCAGAAGTTGTCTGATGTGTTGTTCAGGGTCGAGGGGTTTAGGGTTTAGGGTTTAGGGTTTAGGGTTTAGGGTTTAGTGTCTAGGGTTTAGGGTTTAGGGTTTAGGGTTTAGGGTTTAGGGTTTAGGGTTTAGGGTTTAGGGTTTAGGGTTTAGGGTTTAGGGTTTAGGGTTTAGGGTTTAGGTTAGAAGCAGCCGCGTGCTTCACTACCACCTGCTTGTGGATCGCATCCAGGCTAGGTGGGCCGGCCGCCGACCGCAGAGAACATCGAGACAGCTGCTGGCCTAAACCCCCACAACGCCTAAACCCTAAACCCTAACCCCTAAACTCTAAGCCCTAAAGCCTAACCCCTAAACTCTAAGCCCTAAAGCCTAAAGCCTAAAATCTAAACCCCAAAGCCTACAGCCTAAAGCCTAAAGCCTAAGCCTAAAGCCTGAAGCCTGAAGCCTAAAGCCTAAATCCTGTCCTCCCCAAAACCTTCAACCCCCGTCCTCCCTATAAATCCTAAAACCCTACACCCTAAAACCCTAGACCCTAAACCTCCATTTGGGGATTTCGTTTGAGAGGGCCCTGAAACCACGGGCCTTTTGCAAGTTTGTTTCCGGGGCTTCAAGGTGGGGTTTAGGGTTTGGGGGGTTTAGGGTTTAGTCAGGGCTCAGGAGGCAAGGCGTGTCGAAGGGTTTAGCGGGGGGTGTGTAAGCCCCTGAAGAACCCCTGCACCGCAAACCCAGAAAAAGCACCTCAAGCTACCTCTTAACTCTTAAACCCTGCCCAAAGGCACTCCAAGTTGCCCTAAACCCTAAACCCAAAAACCCCAAACCCTAAACCCTAAACCCCAGACCCTAAACCCTAAACCTCTCTACTTTGCGGCCTCCGCATCACCGCTCGCCGGTCGCGAGGGGGTGCGCGCCTCGGGCTGCAAAGCGGGCTCGGTGGTGGGCTCCCGAAACTGGGGCTTAGGGTTTGGGGTTTAGGGTTTAGGGTTTAGAGTTTAGGGTTTAGGGTTTAGGGTTTAGGGTTTGGGGTTTTGGGGTCTGGGGTGTAGGCCTTTTTCTGAAGAGGATGCCGTGGTGACCCCAAACCCCCAATGGGGGCGGGGGCTTTCACAGTGAGACCCTGCCATCGCAAGCGCAGAATTTGGTCTTGGATCCCGGCGGACTCTTCGACGATGGTGCCTGTCCACCAGCACCATGACTGGAGACTTTGGTTAGGATTTAGGGCTTAGGACTTAGGCAGCAGAAGTCCTCAAACAACCGCTCACGATACATATGTATAACATGTACTATATCCCAAAGTCACCCTAAACCTTCAACCGTCAACCCTCCACCCTCCACCCTAAAGCCAGTCTCTATTGACATACGCTCGACAAAGGACCTAGGGTTCGCGGCTTCAGGATTGAGGGCTTGGGGCTGAAGGGTGCACACTTTGGGTTTGAGAACTTGCGGTTTAGGATTTAGGGTTTAGGGTTTAGGGTTTAGGGTTTAGGGTTTAGGGTTTAGGGTTTAGGGTTTAGGGTTTAGGGTTTAGGGTTTAGGGTTTAGGGTTTAGTTTAAGGTTAAGGCTTTGGAGTTTAGGGTCTTATGTTCACAAGCACCCTACCTGGAACCATGTTTCGACACAGACGACTACCACCGTGTAAAGACTCCGACACCCTGAACCCGTAAATCCTAACCCTCAACCCAAAACCCGAAACTGCAACCCTAAACACCTGAAACCCTCAATCCCTAAACCCTAAACCCTAAACCCTAAATCCTAAACCCTAGACACTAAACCCATGGGACCTAAATTGCATAAATCTTTGAGAACTCTGCGCGTCTTAGAACTCACAGCCACGTCATGCGGGCGCGCACGCGCGGTATAGCCCCGGCCTTGAACTTGAAAGCCTGAACCCTGAACCCTTACTTAGTTGCTGAGTTCATAAGCCCAAAAATAGTGTACACTTTCAGTTCTACAGGGGATTATAGTAAAAGGTGTACACTTTCAGTTCTACAGGGGGTTATAGTATCCCAACAAGTTGTAAAGTGTACTCACTCAGCTACTAAGCACTTAAACCCGAGCCGTTTAGGGCGTCGGGTTTACGATTCGCTCGGCCAAGAATTCGCCTGCCCAACGCGGCTTGCCGACCGAGATTTGCGCCTTGCCGACCGGGATTCGAGACATCGGCAGGCCCGGAATCCCGAATCTTGGTCGGCACGGCGCAAATCCCGGCTGACAAGGCGCAAATGAGCTTGTTTGCGCCTTGCCGACCGAGATTTGCGCCTTGCCGACCAGGATGTGCGCCTTGCCGACCAGGATTGCGCCTTGCCGACCGGAATTTATGCCTTGCCGACCGGGATTTGTGTCTTGTTGATTGGGATTTTCGCCTTGCCGACCGGGATTCGCCCCTTGCCGACGGATACCCATATACTTTGCTATGTAAACGAGACCAAACCCAGGAGTAACGTAGGAATAAACAGGATACCCTTGTCGGTTTACAGGGCTTATAAGGGACCCTAAGCCCCGAACAAAAAGGGAACAAGGGCCTACTCTGTGTCCTAGGAGGGGTTCTTAAGACTCAGGGTTCCGAAACCCCCCCCACATCTGAACCTTGAACCCCCTGCCTTGAGGGGAGGGAAGGGGTAGACGATTGGCTGCAGCTTCCTCAACCTCGTGGCGCGGGTAGCCACCACCCTAAACCCTAAACCCTAAACCCTAAACCGTCTGATCTCAAGGGTTTGGACCAGGGCTTCGGGCTAGAATTTGGGGTTTGGGGTGTATAGGGCTCTCCCCAAACCCTGCCCTGACCCCGAAGTATCTCTAACGCTAAAACCCCTAAGCTCTCAGAAGCCCTGGGCGGCTTAGGGTTTAGGGTTTAGGGTGTAGGGTTTAGGGTTTAGGGTTTAGGGTTTAGGGTTTAGGGTTGAGGGTTGAGGGTTGAGGGTTTAGGGTTTAGGGTTTAGGGTTTAGGGTTGAGGGTTGAGGGTTAAGGGTTGAGGGTTTGGGACCCGGGCAGGAAGAGGTGGCGGCGTGCCAAAGAAAGGGCGCGGCGAGGGCGGTGGCTCCTTGCAAGCCCGAGCCGCTTTGCTTTGAAGCTTAAGGGCTTAGGGTTCGGGGTTTGGGGTTTAGGGCTTAGGGTTTAGGGTTTAGGGTTTAGGGTTTAGGGCTTGGGGTTTAGGGTTTTCGAGCTTAGGGTTTAGAGGTTACACCAGTGGGTTGTAAGCACAATGATCACGAGTACCATGGCAGGTTGAGACAGCAGTAGCACAGTGAAGTTGAGGGCCAAAGCAGCAGCGTCACGGCTTTACAGAACCAATCCCCAAGCTTAAGCAAGCCAAAGTGGGTGAACAAAAAAACATTGGGTTTAGGGTCTAGGGCTTAGGGCTTAGGCTTTGCGGTTTAGGGCTTAGGGTGTAGGGTTGCCTCCATGATGAACGAAGCCGACGAACCCGGGGTCTTCGAAAACCCGAAATCCCCCAACCCCGGCCCCGACCTTGAAGCCCAAAGCCTAAAAGCCCAACCCTAAACCCTGAACCCTAAACCCTTAACCCTAAACCCCGAAACCCTGAAACATTAAAACCCGAAACCCTGAACCCTGAAACCCTGAAACATTGAAACCCTAAGCCCTAAAACCTAAACCCTTGAAACCGCAGTCGAGGCTTTCTGCTGGGTTCTGGGCTTAAGGCCCCTGAACTGAAACCCGAAGATTTGCGGGCTTAGGGTTTTTTCGGAATGAGGGTTTAGGGTTTAGGGTTTTTGGGGTTTTTTTGGGTTTAGGGCTAAATTCTAAGCCCTGAGGCACACATTCCTTCCTCACACGCTGCGGTGTAAGAAGTCGCCAGTGAAACCAGTTGTTCGCTATGAGAGGTTTGAGAGGCTCTCAGATGTTCTGCCGAGCCCTCTGCCTCGCAAGCGTGAGGGTTCAGGGTTTAGGGTTTAGGGTTTAGGGTTTAGGGTTTAGGGTTTAGGGTTTAGGGTTTAGGGTTTAGGGTTTAGGGTTTAGGGTTTAGGGTTTAGGGTTTAGGGTTTAGGGTTTAGGGTTTAGGGTTTAGGGTTTAGGGTTTAGGGTTTAGGGTTTAGGGTTTAGGGTTTAGGGTTTAGGGTTTAGGGTTTAGGGTTGGGGCTTCTACTCCTGCCGAAAAAAACCTACTATTGTCATCCCTAGTAAGGACGGACTGAGGGGGGATATCCCAACCCTATACCCATGAGCTTTTCCGTTTTGGGATGTGTGAGACCTTTGCGTAGAGGGCCGAGCGGGCTTAGGATTTAGGCTTTAGGGTTAAGGGTGTGGCTGGTTCGTGCTTTTGGAAGGGCTCCAGAGCGTTAAGACATCCTACGCCCCCAAACCCCAAAACACAAGGAACGCCCGTAACTTCATCAACTCCAAACTCACTTTGCTTCTCTGAATCCTAAGCCCCCTCAAGACTCCGAAACCTTCCCCAAGCCCTGCATCCGAAACTCTCACGACTAAACTCTAAACACTATATAAGCCCTAAACCCTAAACCCTAAACCCTAAACCCTGAACCCTAAACCCTAAACCCTAAACCCTAAACCCTAA